TACCCGATTCACCGCCAGATTCACCGTCTCCGCCGTTGCCGGATCCGCCGCCGACGCCGCCGTTGCCGCCTCCAACATTCTCACCAACTTCACCCGATTCACCACCAGATCCACCGCCGCTGACCTCATCCTTATTAACCACAGTATCTGCCATCTTCGCTGGATTCACTGAAGTAGTCGGAGGAGATGAATGAATTGCAGTTGCTTCTGTTGAAAATATTTTGCCAATTGATTAATTGCAGTACACACACACACACAGGGCTTACCTTGCTCCAGAATGCCAATAACCACTAGAAGGCTGAATACCAGCTTCCACATTGCGGTGCTTTGCAGCTGCAACAAATCGAACAAATCGAAGACATTGTCAATTGTGTCCTTTCTTCTACTTCAATGGTTCACACTTATTGCAATCTGATCGTACTGTCCTACTGACTCGGAATATTCATATTGACAATTACCTAGCTCTGCACTTAGGTCTGTTAACTTACCCCAAGTAGTTCGGGTACCTTGAACTGCCACAATGACTGCCTCTTTAAATAGGCAATAGGACAGGGTTTGATTGGTTTCACTACGAGTCCCACAAGGTCATTCGTTGCAGCCTGAATGACTGGCATTACAGTAATTGGCTGTGCTTGAGCTGCGTAGGCACAGCGATGCCATGATGATTACGATGACGTAAGTTCGAATTCAACCGCCCTCCAGTGTGTCTTAACGAGGAAATTGGCTGTAAAATGCTGTCCAGTCGACAATCTTGCATGTCACATTTCCTACTGAATGAATCAAAATCAGAAGTATGTCCTTTTTTCTCTTCTTCACATCTTCACACATGCCCCTACGAAAGCAGTTCCAGACAAATGTTTGCCTCAGCGCAGTAGGCCTCCATAATTTCTTTAGATGTTCTCACGAGCGTGGTCAGGCATGGTTAATTTATGTGGTCCACCCAAAACACCTATGAATCTGAAATTTCTAACCAGACGTTTGTTCGCATTATTTATGTAACATTGGGCCTCTGCGTGTGTGTATGTGTGTGTGTGTGTGTGTCCGGGGTGTAGGGGTGTCAGCGGTGGGTTCACGTGAAGGTCGTAGTGGTCGCTCACTTGCTTGCAGGTGAGACTACGCCTAGCATCCACTTGCTGGCACTAAACTCTCACCTGTGGCTCCATGTAGCTGGGCTCTGCTCAGCGGCCACACCCCGGGCAACCGCCTTGACCTGCGGGCTAAACCAGGTGAGGGCGCTGTGCGCTTGTGCCGCGTGCACAGTGTACTGCGTGCTCCGCTGGACGTTTGGTCGGATGAAACGATGCGCCGGCGTCGTCGAGACGAGGCTCTGCCTGGTACGCCGTTGGACAGCTGCTGCCGGGATGGGTCCCCGCATCGCCCTCGCTGAGACGCTCCCACCTCCGCCGACGGAGACCGCAGACCTCGGCATATGCGGTCGTTCTCCACTACAAACATAAAGTCGTGGTCCCATAGTGGGATTCGGTCGCGACAAACAGGCACACAGGCAGCCCGATTCGGGGGGCACTGCCTGTCCCCATTACGGGGGAGGGCCTACAAAAGGTGACCTAAACATTGCTGGGCGCACGCCGTCTCCAGGCTAGCCGGGGCCGTAGACGTCTAAACATGGTCAAAACCGAAACAACAACAATACCAATAACAACAACAGCCATACTTCTTCTCCTCATCCTACCTCTTCTACCTCTATCTCCGTCTATTCTTCTGCCTATTCTTCTCCTTCGTCACCTTCTTCTCCACCTCCTTCCCGTAACCCCACTCGTTTTCCCCAGACTCACAGGGTGAGCCCGCTCACTCTGGCAGCCTGGAATGTTCGTTCTCTTTTAGACAATCCGAGGAGCAACCGACCGGAACGGAGGACGGCGCTAGTGGCACGAGAACTGGCGCGCTACAAGGTGGACATCGCTGCACTCAGCGAGACCCGATTCTCCGAACAAGGCCAACTGGAGGAGGTGGGTGCCGGCTACATCTTCTTCTGGAGTGGTCGACCCAAGGCAGAGCCACGAGACGCGGGCGTCGCCTTCGCCATCCGGACCGACATCGTGGGATGACTGCCCTGTTTGCCGCAAGGAATCAACGACCGCCTAATGAGCCACCGTCTGCCCCTCCGGCGAGGAGGCAAGTTCGCCACCATCATCAGCGCCTACGCTCCGCCGATGAGCAGCCCCGACGACGCCGCAAGAGACAAGTTCTACGAGGACCTGCACGCCCTCTTGGCGACTGTGTCGAAGGCGGACAAGTTGATTGTCCTTGGTGACTTCAACGTCCGCGTCGGCACAGACCATACTGCCTGGAGAGAAGTGCTGGGTCCCCACGGTCTCCGCGGCTCCAACGACAATGGTCTGCTTCTCCTCCGCACCTGCGCAGAACACCGCCTCATCCTGACGAACACGTTCTTCTGTCTGCCGGAGCGAGAGAAGGCCACCTGGAGGCATCCTCGGTCGCGTCAGTGGCACCTGCTGGACTATGTCCTCGTCCGGAGGCGAGATCAGCGGGACGTGCTGGTGACGAAGGCGATCGCGGGTGCTGACGGGTGGACCGACCATCGCCTCGTCATCTCGAAGATGCGTATTCGCCTACAGCCTCGCAGGAGACCACAGGGTAAGCGACCCCCAGGTAAGCTGAATATCACTTTGTTGTCTTGGACAGCTCATCGTCTCCATTTCAGCAATGAGCTAGCTCAACGGCTAGACAACCTTCCTATCGCTGCCGCCGCCGCTGCCGAGAACACCTCCGTGGAAAACCGCTGGTGTCAACTGCGAGACACGGTCCAGTCGACGGCGCTCGCCGTCCTCGGTCGCGCTCCCCGCCAACACCAGGACTGGTTCGACGACAATGACGCTGCCATCAGAGATCTGCTTGCTGAGAAAACCGCCTCCACAAAGCCTACGTAGATCACCCTACTGAGGACAACAAAGCTGCCTTCTACCGCAGTCGCCGACAGCTTCAGCAACGACTGCGCGAGATGCAGGACGCCTGGACTGCTCGCAAAGCTGAGTCGATTCAAGGCTATGCGGACCGCAACGAATGGAAGAACTTCTTCTCTGCGATCAAAGCTGTCTACGGTCCGCCGACGAATGGCACTGCTCCTCTCCTCAGCGTCGACGGCAGCACTCTCCTGACCGTGAAGGAGCAAATCCTACAGCGATGGGCCGAGCACTTCCGAGGCGTCTTCAACCGCTCTTCCGTCATCTCCGACGCCGCCATCGAGCGTTTGCCGCAAGTGGAGACCAACTTGGACCTCGACCTCCCGCCATCTCTCCAAGAAACGATCAGGGCCGTGCAACAGCTCTCTAGCGGGAAAGCACCCGGATCGGACGCAATCCCTGCTGAGGTTTACGAGCACGGAGGTCCCCTAATGATGGATCACCTGACTGCGCTCTTCCAGGAGATGTGGCGTCAAGGTGAAGTCCCGCAAGATTTCAAGGACGCAACTATCGTGCACCTATACAAGCGAAAAGGGAATCGCCAAGTCTGCGACAACCACCGCGGCATCTCCCTACTGAACATCGCCGGGAAGATCTTCGCTCGCATCCTGCTCAACCGCCTCAACAACCACCTGGAACAGGGCCTTCTGCCGGAAAACCAATGCGGCTTACGTCGTCGTTGTGGGATCACGGATATGATCTTCGCAGTCCGTCAACTTCAGGAGAAGTGCCAGGAGATGCGGACCCACCTGTACTCTACCTTCTTGGACCTGACGAAAGCCTTTGGTACGGTGAATCGTGAAGGACTGTGGAAGATCATGCAGAAATTCGGCTGTCCGGAGCGATTCACTCAGATGGTGCGTCAGCTGCACGAAGGTATGTTGGCGCGAGTCACGGACAACGGAGCTGTCTCAGAGGCATTCGCAGTGACCAACGGAGTGAAGCAGGGATGCGTGCAGGCGCCTACCCTCTTCAGTCTTATGTTATCTGCCATGCTGATGGACGCCTACCGCGACGAACGCCCCGGGATCCGCATCGCCTACAGGACGGATGGTCGTCTCCTGAATCAACGGCGCATGAACTTCCAATCTCGTGTATCCACAGCCACCGTGCACGAACTCCTCTTCGCCGACGACTGCGCCCTGAACACCACCTCCGAAGAGGAGATGCAACGGAGCATGGACCTATTCTCCGCCGCCTGCGAGATCTTTGGGCTGGTTATCAACACGCAGAAGACGGTGGTGATGCATCAGCCGCCTCCCCGCTCAGCCACAGCCCCCAACGCGCCGCAAATCAACGTGAATGGGACTCAACTGCAAGTGGTAGAGAACTTCCCGTACCTGGGCAGCACCCTCACCCGCAACACCAAGATCGACGACGAAGTCGTCAACAGGATCTCAAAAGCCAGTCAAGCCTTCGGACGTCTCCAAAGCACAGTTTGGAATCGTCTTGGTCTCCAACTGAGCACAAAGCTGAAGATGTACAAGGCCGTCATCCTGCCGACGCTACTGTACGGAGCAGAGACATGGACGGTGTACACGAGGCAGGCACGCCGACTGAACCACTTCCACCTCAGTTGTCTCCGTCGCATCCTGAGGCTGAACTGGCAGGACCGCATCCCCGACACCAAAGTGCTAGAACGAACGGGAATTCTAAGCATCTACTCCATGTTGACACAAATGCAGCTGCGCTGGAGCGGCCACCTGGTGCGCATGGACGACGAGCGATTACCCAAGCGACTCTTCTACGGAGACGTCGCGACGGGTTCTCATCGTCAAGGAGGCCAAATTCGCCGTTAAAAGGATACTCTGAAGTCCTCCCTGAAGCGCCTGCAAATCAACCCGACCAACTGGGAAGAGCTCGCCCGCGATCGCCCGACATGGAGGAGGACAGTGAAGACGGGCGCTGCTATCTACGAAGCCAACCGAATCGCCGCCGCCAAAGCGAAACGCGAAGTCCGAAAATCAAAACTTCGACCAATACGCAACGAAGCCGCACAACCTCTCCCTACGTGTCCTCGATGTCAACGGACATTCCGGACACGAATCGGACTTGTTGGACATCTTCGAACCAACTGCACCTATCGAACTGCTCCAGCCATCGTCCCCCCGCCCGCCTCTTCCTCGTCCTCTCCTCCGCCAACTAACTCTGACACTCCTTCTGCACCACCAATTCCATCCTCCTCCTTCACCTCCACTGCCCCAGCGGCGGCCGTTCAGGCTGCCGTCTCACACATCGCCAACCACGACACAGCAAACGCAACCACCCCCACCTGCCCTCACTGCGACCGCATCTTCACCTCACGCATCGGCCTGGTCGGTCACTTGCGAATCCATCGCACAGAGACTGGCGAACCAGTGCCTGGAGCACCAACCTACACCCACCGCACTCGCCTCCACTGCCCACACTGCCCTCGCACCTTCAAGCATCGCATGGGTCTATTCGGACACATGTGCATCCACGACGACCTGCGGTAGACAACCGCCGATCACACCACACATTCCCTCACCCTCTACCTCCTAACACCATCACCCCACCAGACATCAACCCTCACACACCTCATGCACTCAACTGCCGCCTCCCACGCAAGTGGGAAGTGTGCATCTCGACTCGGTCCCCATGCGGCTTCGGCTGCACGGGTGACTTGTGTCCGAGTCTATCCCGACACGTCAAGTGTCGTGGATAGGAAGGTTGCTGATTGAGGCCCGCTCTCGGTTCACGCAGTTCGTCACGTTGTGTGTGTGTGTTGTGTGGAGTGGAGTGGCAGACTGGTGGGCTGGGGACGGGCTGCAACAGCACCTTCCACGGCACTCTCACGCAAAGTGAGAGACATGCCGTTCAACCTCCCGTTGTGTAAAATCCTGGTGTTTGTGTGTATGGGGGGCCAGGTCGTGCTGTGGCGCGCGCAGGCATGGGCAGTCGACCATGTCAGCCACCGCGCCCATTCCCCACTCCAGTCTACTGACCGGCTCGGACAGTGGCTGGGGTGTGGGAATGGGAAGGGAGAGTGAGGTCGACGACTCAGCGCATTTTCCTCACTATACTCAATCTGACGCGCTTGAAGCTATCACGGTGCGCTATAAGCCGTGGCTTGGAAGGTTGCCAACTGACGGGGTACCTTGGACCTCCTCCTTCACTGGAGGCGGTCTGAGAGTCAGGCTGCAATGGCTCCTTTTTAATGTGGCCTTTATGGCACTCTCACCACAGCGTGGGATCCGAGCCAGGCGTTGGCGGCACGCCCAGGTGCGTCTTCGGCCGTGCCAGCCTCCAAATCTCTGTTGTGTTGGTTGAAATCCTGGTTATTGTTGTGTGGACCAGGGGGTGTGGTGGAACGCCAAGGTGAGGATCCGTCCGAGCCATCCACCTGCGGCCTCCCTCGTCTCCGGTCTTCTTGACTCTGTCTTGACACCGGGCTCAGGCGGGGGAGGAGGAGAGAGTGTAGGTAGGTGCAGCGCAAGTCAACCCGCACTATAAACCCCTGCGTAAGTCACCGTCCCTGCTCCCACAATGCCGTCTGTGTGGGCAGACGGTGGACATCATCGAAATCGATGGTCGAACTGTTGTGTGTGTGTGTGTGTTTGTGTGTGTGTCTGTGTGTGGTTTTGAGACATTTTCTGTTCATTGGCAATGTCCAAGTTGCTGTCCATGCTCAGCTTGCTGTCACTTTTATCATTACATCCGCTCAAAGACAATAAATAAGAGAGCAGAAGCTGATCTAGTCGATAAGCATGCAAGAGGATGACTGATGACCTGGCCGATGAGGGAGACTGGGAAGTGCGTTCAGCCGAAAATGAACAAACAACGTTCGAGAGTTTGGTCAACAACATCAGTTAAGAGGGGAATCCGAAAAAAAGCGTAATCTGGGGAAAATCTTCTTACAAACGGGGAGTCCAGAAAACCTTCAAAAATTAAGGCAACAACGGAGCTTATGCAAAACACTCCTCCGTGAATAACGCGCTTCTTTTTAACTGAGGCTTTTGTAAGAGGAACAGCAAATACCTAAATCAGTCTATGCATACATCAGTATCAATAGGAAAAACCGGACCATCTCTCAACAATAAAGAACTAAAATAAACAAACTGGGATCAATGGATTCCAAAATTTGAACTTCTATTAGAATTTTTCTAAAATGTTTATACCACGTGACCACCCTTTCCAGTCCTGTTCTCTGCCAGTGCTCGTCCACCAACCACCTACAAACACACTATTATTTACACTGATGCCAGTTTTGGCAGAGTTTAATAATCTGGATCTGGCCAAGTCACGTAGGCCAGACGAGATTCCAGGTCTACTTCTATGTCAACTAGCTGAAGAATTAGCACAATCACTCTGTACAGTCTTCCAATAATCGCTGGAAACTGGTAAATGTCCTGACACATGGACTTTGGCAAACATCGTACCCATCGGCAAGGGAGGATCACGGCTATATCCCATCAACTGCCGGCCAGTGAGTCTCACATGCATTTGCTGCCAACTGATGGAATAGATAGTTAACTATGTCATTTACATCACTTGATACATTCCGCTGTCACATCAGTTTACTTCAACATGGTTCCTATGAAAAGGGGTCCTGCCTGACAAGCCTGCTTACGTCGCTCGAACATTGGATGAAGGACATCCAGTAAATGTCATCTACTTTGACTTCAGCAAGGCATTTGATCTCGTTCCACATAAGCGTCTCGTTCAAAAGTTCTCAGGCGTAGGGCTAAGAGGCAATCTTCTGAACTGGATTCAAGATTTCTTGAAGGGTCGTAGACAAAAAGTCACTGCGTGTGGCTACTGCTGACAATAGGCCTCTGTTAGATTTGGAGTCGACAGAGGGGTCAGTTCTTGAGCTTCTCATATGCATTATCTATGTAAATGATCTAGTACGGGAAGTGACCTCGGATATAGTGCTCTTTGCAGACGATTTTCAATTTCGGAGGGTGATAACAGATGAAAAATACGTCAACATTCTACAAGCTGACGTACGGAATTTGCACGCATGCAGTGAGAAATGATGCAGGAAATCCAAAATCAGGAATGTGCTGTGGTTCACATAGTATCAGCAAGGCGAAGCACAAATGCACCCTCACGACAGAACCTCCTGGACAATCAACTACCTGAAACCGTAGATGTGCAAGAAGATCTCAGCGTATTCCTAGAAGACGACATAAGCGTCACCACGCAGTGTTCTAAAGTCGCAGCACGGGTAATGTCAGTCATGGGCGTGATACGAAGGAGGCTTATTAACTTGAATGCAGATGTCTTTGGCAAGGTATATGGGGCATTTTATGCGGCCGCACCTGGAATATGCGGTACAGGCTTGGCGGCTATGGCTTCGGACGGATATAAAACGTGTACAGCGACGTGCTACAAAGGTTGTTCTTGAAATCATAAATTTTACTTACAAGCAACGCCTGACA